AAAGCATATTGAGCATATTAACCAGAGTAGTTTTACAATACACTACAAAGACTCATATCTTTATTATTTTTAAGGCCAATGTACTCCCATATAGCACTGAAAAATTAGCATAGCTTAGCATGGAATCCAACCCATCTCACACATGGCAGCAGAAACTGAGGCCGAACTCTTGACCTTAACATCCTTTAACCCCCAAGGTTCACGGGGGAATCAGGGCAGCGAAGCTATGGGCATAAATGTATTTTAAAAAGAAGAAGATAAAAAATGGCTGTCTTCTAAGCATGTATTCAATGACAGCCAGACCAGAAACTGAGTTAGTATCAGTCGTGAACCAATGTCAGTATATGAGCATTAATTTTAAAGGGTGCCTTAAGCTCTCAGTGTGTTTAACACAGGCAAAAATTAATGCTGCCAGGTGTAGCCTGAACGGAGGAGAGTTTGAGGCACTACGAGGGGCTGAGAACATGGGCACGGGTTCTAAATGATAACTCAGGTCAGTAACCCAAAGTAACCCTACTCATGAGAATGGGCTCATGAGTCAAGGGTGGAATCAGCTATACAAAAGTGAGGGGCGCAGGGCAGAGCTGGTTTGACAGATAACTTGGGATCATTACATCACATCATTACATGGAAATGGCCAAGGTCAGAATCAGAGAAAGGAACATTGTCCAAAAAAGGTTTCCTATTTAAACCTCACTTTCACAAGCACAGCGAATAATGACTGTACTGTTTTCTATGGCCACCAGCCAAGAACTTTGTGTTTTTTTTTTAACTTTCGAAGAAAAGAGATTCTGCATGGTAACTCTACTGTCAGTGTGTAACACATCGCTGTGGAAAATGACAGGCAAATGGATCTTAATGGCTCACTAGGTCTTAAAGTTAAGATCAGAAACCACACACAAAATTGTACTGGTGTCCAAAACACTTAGAACGTTTCACTTCTGGGAATACATAATATTCACGAATACAGTAAGACCTCGGACATTCGCAAGGTTAGGTTCCAGAACCCGTCTCGAATGAGGAAGATTCGCGGATGTTTGGTAGTCAATAAAAATGGTAATATGTGCTTATTTCTATAGTTTAAACCCTAAATATGCTCCGAAAACACTTTAATTTAAATTTAAAAGTTGGCTTAATACATTTCCCTTAAAAACCAACCCTTTCAGTGTTTGTATCAAATGCATCTCGAGATGGAAACCCGTTTAGTTAATAGTAAATTAACTATTTTCTAATAATTATGCAACCATTATCGTTCCTGTCACGTATTACCGGAGTACAGACCGGGGAAGCAGGGACAGGACGCAAGGAATCAGGGAACACGGAGTTTAATCAAAAGGTAAAGACAAGCAGGACAATGGAACAGGCAGCAAACTCAAAATAACGTTAATGACGCGGGGATTCCACACGAGGTAGATGAGGCGACGTGGCACACGGGAGGATCGGACAAGCAGGTCATGACAGTTCCAAAGGGAATAAACTTTGCGAATAGGATTCGTATCTTGTAAAGGTACAGTACAGTATGTACATAAAAAGGAACGCAGATGTGCGAAAAAAATTGCGGATACAAATAAGTTCGGTTCCAATGAAATTTTCGCGGATCTGTGAATTTGCGAATCACGAAGCGTGAATGCACGAGGGCTTACTGTATTCAGGTTTATAAATCAATACCAAACTTTAAGCCCCTTAACCGATGGCAGTGGTGTTTATATACCGTATTTGCCGGCGTATAAGACGACTTTTTCCCCCTGAAAAACATGCCTCCAAGTGGGGGGGTCGTCTTATACGCCGGGTGCACTTCAGTTGGGATCAGAGCATGTGAGCGGAGTGGAGCGGAGCGTGAGCGAGTAGCGGAGCGGGCGAAATTTGGTCAGAGCGCGGAGCGGTTTTTTAATTAAGGCTGGAGCGGTCGCTCTGTCTCGCTCCAATTTCACTCCGATACCGCTCACACTACGACCACAAGGCGTGCGCAAATCTTCCCAGAGTTCATCTATACAATCATCAAGATTTAGATCCGCTTTGGAATCTAAAAAGACCTTTCTCTGAAACATGAGTGTGCTAAGCGAACACGCGGAGGCCAGAGCAAAACGTGAGCAAGTGTTATATGGTTGTAGCATATCAAGTCTATAAAGTAAATAAAAGTATAAAAGCCTATAATTTGGTAATCAAATAAATTAGTTTGTCATTCAAATTAGGTCTAATAGGATTTTTTAAATTCACGTAACGCTGTCAGTGAAATTTTATTTTATAGAGAGAGACGCAGCAGCAACATCAACAGAAAATAACTGAGGAATTTAAAACGTGGATGCGCTTAGCCTGTATATTCTTTAGGCTATTAAGCCCACTGATTCCTTTATTTTTAAGCCTATTTTGTGTGGAATGCCATTGCCAAACCTGTCCATTGTTGCCTATATGTTGCTTAAAAATAAATATTTTCTGTTCCGAGTGCCGTTGCTCACATTTCTTTATGATATAAGGCATCGGTTTAAGGTGACATTTGTTAGGCATGCAGATTATTTGTCCCTCTTTTAAATTGGAGCGAGCGTGGAGCGATTTGACTGGAGCGGGAAGAAATTTTAGTGGAGCGAGGAGCGGTGTTGAGCGGAGCGGAAGAGGGGGTAGTCATATTTTTTTTTATTATACCATTAAGATGTATTTATAAAAGGAGAACCTTTTAATGAAAACATTTTACAGGAGGATCAATTACTCTTTTAAAAGCACTTCAATTTTTGTGTTGATGGGCAATGATGTATACATGAAAAGCTGACATTAGTGATGCAGGTTTTTCTGAAAGAGAAAAAAAAAGAAAAAAAAACAGATGCTGCTTCCTCTTCACCCCCTGGCCTTCTTCAATAGACTCTGGAGGAAGGAAAAAAAAACATCTCCTTAAAAATCATTACAGCCTACCAGTCTGTTCACCCACCTCTACCTCTCCATCTTTATCTCCCCCACCCCAATCACTCTTACTTTTATTTCTGGCTGCACCGGTTGAGGAGCTCATTCACATGTCCTCTAATGAATGCAAACAGCATGTCTAAAAAAGCTAAAGGATGAATAACTAGCATAAACAAAGCAGGGGTTCCCAAGTGCCAGTTTGTGGACCGGCACCAGTCCGTAGCCAGTATCTCACCAAACCGCATGGATTATTTATTTATTTATTTTTTATCATCCCCTTCACGTTTACATTCCCTTCAAATCAAAAAAAAAAGTAAACTGTTAAACTTATGAAATTGGCGATCGATCCGAGGATGGGTTGGTACTGATTTGCGGTAGTGATCATCATTTTTTAGTCTCTGTGGGAGACAATGGATTAGCGGGCCAGATTTAACTATAATTTAAAGCTTTGCGAGCCTTGTAAAACCATCCAAATCAGTAGTTCACAAACGTAATACCTTCTGAGGTGGTGTGCAGTTTATTACGCTCTTTGCGTACCACCATCGAAACATTATGCTTGACCATCAAGAACAATATGCTGGGTAAGAGCTTCTGTTATTCTCACTGCAGGAAGGTTATCGCCATCATTTCACATTTTCCCTCTCCATGTTAGTGTTTGCTGCATGATGGGTCGCTGCAGAGTGATGCTGGCGGCAGTTTGCCATATTCAGATGTTTAGAGACTTTTCTTATGCTGTGTAAACCTGTTTCATACCTACTTGTGATATTTTAGCCGAGCAGTCAGACATGATTCTAGTATCAGTATCAATGTACCCCTACAAATAAGCTGCTTCATTATAAAATAAACTCTGTGTTCATTCCCATCAGCCGGATGTCTGTGTAGCTTTATTGTGGCTTATTTATACTTGGAATGTCACACTGTCTAAATCTTTACAGCTTGAGATTCCAGTCCACATCAACTAGCAAACAGCAAGCAGACATGTGTGTGTGTGTGTGTGTGTGTGTGGTGTGTACACGAGTGAAAGGTATCAACCACAAAATGTGTGGGGGAGTGTGATTCAAATTTAAACAGTGTGTCTCAAGTAAAGAACGTGTCAGCTACCAACCACCGAGTGAGAGCGTGCGCGTGAGAGAGGTAAACACCGAGTGCTGTGTTGGAGAATTGCAGGAGGGATAATCGCAGACATGATACGAAAAACAAGAGCTTAGCCTCATCTAAGCAGAACGGTGTGTGGGAGAGGTAGTGCGGGCTAGCTGCAGGCACACAGCAGACTCAACATCACAGAACCCATGAAAAGGAAGTGGCGACTGTGGGCTCTGGACACCGGGGGGGAAAACAAGTGTGAGTATCTTAACCAGTGGCCACACAGTGACTATTTCGCTGGCAGAATTTAAATGCAGGATGCAAAGATCAGCATTAACTGTTGAAATATCCCTGGCTGTCCACAGACAAAAGCAAGACCAGGAAACTAAAACAGGAGGCAAAATGATACATGATGGAGGCATGGATGCTCGCAGGACAAGCTGCGCATGTGTGCTCCGCAGCCGGCGGCAGCAACACGTGCTGGTCCGGGACAGAGGGGCATACGTTACTCACTCCATACCACGCACATCTGTTAGCAATGCGGCCTGATTAAATGAATATGCACTGGAAACCTGACCCAATCAGGAACCCCCCAGCCCAGTAACACACCACTGCTTGAAGGGAAGCATTCTTAGACCCTGAGTTCAGGCAACCAGCAGCCCACTCCGATAATGATTTTTAAAACTCATCTTAAGAAGTAACCATCCAGAGCCGCTAGCCAGCTCTTTGGCGACAAAACTCAGGTAAAGGCATACGGACTAGGAGTTACGCTCAGTGTTAGAGTTGCCCAAACATCTACAGTAGGAGTGGGGGCAGGCTGGGGAAGAGAGTAAAGTGTTGCAAGCAGAAACAAGTAACGAGCAGATCTGCTGAACAGAAGTGAATGACAGCAGATGAGCAGATAGAGAATTCTTCTGCCATGCATGTCTGCAAGTGTGTTCATCTGACACATGGGCAAAGCCAAAGGGACCCTGATCAGCAGCTCCCAATGGCATCAAAGCAGAACACAGACTGAATGCAATTACCTTGGACACAGCCTTGAAGTGACAGGCCCTGATGGTGGCTGTTTTCTCCTCAAAAGCTTTTGCCCTGGACTCTTCTGCCAGGCTGCGCAGAAACAGCAACAAGCTCAGCTCCACCTGCCCTCGGAGACAGAAGAGGGAATTACCCTTGCAGTGTGCAGGAAGCCAGCTACTCAGCTTACTGATATTCTACACTGCTGTACAAGGCAGCCCACATTTCCTTCACAGACTTACCATGCATTCTAACAGCCTAGACCAGACAAATCCAGCATCTACCAGCCCACCCCCCCCGTCACTATGCTGTACATCACAAAGCAAGACCCTTGTCCCAGAATACAACAAGACTGTTGCATCTGACTCATCCCACATGAGGCAGTGACTCCTTGTTGACTCTTATTGTTGAGTGCAAGTTGAGCATTTCCATTAATGGCCTGTGGGCACGCAGGAGGCGTGTGGCTGCATAATTGTCACGCATTCTTCATTTCATTCTGATTTAAAGACCCTGTTTGACTCAATTATATCCCACCACAGGCCACCTTCCATGGTTGCACAACAAGCTACAGTAAGTATTCCCAGTCTAGCATGCACGCAAACAGACACATACCTGTGTACTCCCGGGTTAACTTGGGCACAGAAGGGAAGACGGCAGGACACACACACACACACACACACGCACACAGTTCGCTATGGTTACTAAAATACTCCCAGTTCTTAAAGAACAGGCCACTGCTATTTTTCTATCACTTATTGAACTACAGCTTCTAATTGCAGGAAATGAACAGGGTCTTAGCCTACACGGTAAACACTAACCTGTCAACAACTGGTGAATCAAGTTTCTGGTACTTCCTGTTGCCTTACAGTAAAGTAAAAGCAATACACCCTGTATATTTTTCCACACATTTCACGTATGGCTCAACTGGTACCAGTTGGCCTAAAATATTAGGTGATATTAAGACTCCTCAAAATTATCGGCATTGGTGGAGAATGCACCAGTAATTTCTGTAAACGTTTATGAAGAAAAAAGAAACTCGCTCACTGGAGAAAATGCAGAGGAGAAGCCATGCTTCCTGCACTATAACTTATTCTCAGCCTGGGGTAATACTATGTTTGGCCAGTTAGTGGTCGACAAATAACGGAAAAATACCACACAGAATCTTCAGGATGTAAACCGTTTTGTGTGTGTGGATTATTCCATTGTGGGGACCAAACGTCCCCCACAATGAAATAACAACCTGTTATTCTGACGTTGTGGGGACCATTTTTCAGGTCCCCACTAAGATCTGTGAATGCAAAAAACTAAAAATGCCAAAAGTCTTGTATTTTGTTTGGTTTCTTATGGTTAAGGTTAGGGCTGGGTAGGGGTTAAGGTTGTCATGTTGGGATTAGAGTTTTCCCCATAGAAATGAATGGAGAGTCCCCACAAAGACATAATTACAAATCTGTATGTGTGTGTGGGGGGGGGTTTGCATAGATCACATTTGAGGACCAAATTATCCCCAAAGTGTAGCAAAACCTGAAATTTCCATACTTTTGTGGACATCTTTTGCGGTTCCCATTTGGATAACCTCAGTTTTATAAAAATCCGTGAATGTAATCAAAAAAGTAGAAATGCCAAAAGTCTTGTATTTGAGTTGGTTACTTATGGTTAAGGTTATGGATGGGTAGAGGTTAAGGGTGTCGTGATTGTGATTAGGGTTTTTCCCATAGAAATGAATGGACGGTCCCCATTTAATTAGGAAGACCAACTTGCGTGTGTGTGTGTGTACAACCTAATTTCATTTTAAGGAGCTTTTATTAAGCAGAACTGACAATGTACTTCAAAATTGCTCATTTCCTATCAAAATTACTAGAGTTCATATTAACATTGCCCAGTCAAAATAAAAGCTAGAAGTGCCCTGCTTGTGAGCAAATTATACAATTGTAAAATAAACAACCCCAAGAACTGCTCAAAGTAACAAGATCATCTCAGCAATGATTATGGAACTCAACGGGTCAGTCAATGTGTTGTGTCTTTTAGTGTCTGTGACCTTAGGCGCACAGAACCTGGAACAGAGGGACTTGGGAGGGTGTGTGCCTATCCCTGACACATCCAAGGCTTCCACACAGGATGCAGTTGATTATTTTTATGCTCAATCAACCATCAAACACTGTGCAGGCCATCCCAGTTTAGCAGGAGAACAAAGCAGGCTCTTACAAACTCCCACCCACACGAGCCACCAGCCATAAACACTAAAACTGTCTTGCACACGGGTCCTGTGGAGCCGTGGTTCTGGCACACACGGGTACCAGAGAGCCACGGTTCACATACTAACCGGCTCCAGCGGCCCGTGGTTCACACTTAGGCTTGGAATTTTAAAGACATGACAGTTTGTCTGGCGTGAAACTTACCACCAAAGTTATTAGTCTACAAACAGCAAAAATTTTACTGTGAAAGTTAGTTATGTTGATACTTGATATCATGCCAATGACTAGGACTATATTCATGGTGTTAATTGTCAAAGTAACAAGGTGAAATTAAAACATTTAGCATAAAATATTATCAGCAAATGATGAAGGTAAAGAATTATCACCTTCTGTGCCCTAAAGCTGGCCCTCATCCCAAAGTACGGTGAGATGTTTCAGCATAAAAAGCACATATTACTATGAACCCAAGAGTTTCTCTTACAAACGGCAATGTGCAAATAATACAGAGGAACAGTTCAGACACACCAGAGCAGGTTGAGTGCCCTCGCCGTCTTTCACTGTAAGACTAGCCTCACCATCCAGTTTTTTTTATTAAACATCCATGGGGGTCCCCAACTCCAGCCCTATAAAGCTCTCCCAGCTGCACAGACCCCTAATTAGCCCTCATTACTGCAGGAAAGTCCATTACGACCTCAACCGCTAAGGCACACACATCCATGTAAAAACTTAAATATTTCTAACTTGACTTCAAAAATCAGGCACACATGTGCATCTACACATATAAACATTGACAAACAAGGGTTTCTAAAAGTAATTTGTAATTCTCCTAAAGAATGGTACCTTGACTTTTTGCGGTTAAAAGCATGACAAGGCTCCTTCCTGGTCTAATCATACAATGGACAGGAATGTAAAATGCAATTCAACAGTTTAGCTCATAAAAATAATGTAATTAAACTGTACATAATTTCATTAACTAGGACTGGGTGTTTTCATCGCTCACTAGTACAAAGACTCTACAAGACCTTAGGTTACATCCCGGCCAGGCTGTACCCAAGCCCAAAGCTGCCTGGGACAGGTTCTAGGCCACCCCATGACCAACATAAAGTTTAGAAGATGGATAGATGGGCCTTCATTTAGAATTCAGTGTAGACATTTCTAAGAGTTAATGAACAGGTCTATTTCAACAAGCAGGACCAGGACTGAGGTCTGGGATTATGCCACATTCCAGCATGGGACATCAATATCTTGATTTCATTTTAAACTATCTGAACCATCTCATCATAACTATCTGATTAAGCTTCATTATTTATTAGTTGTTTAGAACAAAGTCAATATAGAGAAGCACTAGCCTATATCACCAACACCAACACATGCTATGGATCCAACCACCCTCCATGCCACAGGCCCTTGTGATTTTCCTATTAACTGTATTTGGAGTTGTCTCAGTAATAGAAACACTATGAAGTATCTAATGGCTAGCTAGTCAGGAACTGCTTCCAGCTCACCAAAACCAGAACATCCTGTGACATTTCCACTGACCACTTCAAAGAGGACACAACAATTAGCCAATTATTTTCATCATCACTGCATTACCCACAATTCAAATGGTTTATTCATACAACTACTCAGTAAAGGATATGTTGTGAATTCAATTCAGCCACATCCTAGTGGCCCGAAAGCAGTAAACATAAGCCAGCAGTATGTGACGCTTTGATGGTGAGGGTGGTTTGTGTGGGGGTATGCATGTATGTGTGCATACATAGATTTCCCATCAAACCATTCATATGGGCTAGTTTCAAAGTAAAAGGGGCTATTTAACCATCAGACACTGTTGCTCTATTTGTGTGTCAGCTTTCAGTCATATGTACAGGCATATAATTAAACAGGAACTAAAGCAATGCTATACATTAAAGTTACTTCCTCTTTTTACAGGCATTGACCATTTGTGTGCACCATGTAATCATTTACAAGTAGTCGTACTATTTCAGAACACTAATGGTTAAGAAAAAGGAATTAAAATCTCAGACAAAATGGCACAAGAGCACATGCATTTAGCACCAAGCTAACACAATGGTAAATAATGAACACCACCTCATCCTGTTTGTGTTTAAAAATGCATGTAATTAATTCAAATCAACTCAGTTTTAGGCAACTTTTAAACAACTTTTAAGCTTTAGAAAAGTGTGGCAACATACTGATTTTATGTGGTGTGTTACTCTATTCTAAATGCTGAATGATGATTTAAGCAAATAAACCGGTTATTTCATCAAGTCTCTAACATCACAGTAAATATCTCATGGGGAACATGAGTTTGTTCTGTTTGTTATAATATTAGACAAGTAATTTGTACTGCATGCACAAAAAAAAACACTTTAAAAACAGCAAAGTAATAATTACATTAACATAAAACGGCCAACGAGGCCTAAATTTATGAATGGACATTTGTTTAAGCCACGTAAATATATGAAAAGACTGGAAACAGCCAAGATTTCAAAATGGCTCAGTTTTAAGGACATAAAAATCTTTATAATACTGCAGAACAAAAAGACTTAATGTAAAAAAAAAAAAAAAAAACTTGGTTTAATCAAATGTATCATATTCATTGATTCCAACTTTTTACTATAATCAATGCAGCCCAATCAAATTACATCTAGTTTTCATAATCTTACACATTGTTATATATTTTGTTCCAAAGCGACAAAATGCAACTGACGTAATTACTTTCAAATAGAATACAATTTGGTATGAAGGATGACTTTATAAGCGCCTCGTGAATGTTACAGCTACAAAATCGTCAGCTGCTGATAATGAATAAGAAGCATTCTCTCTCTGAAGGAATAACTTCCTTTATGGCACAAACTGTCATAAATATTTGTTTGCAAAACTGACACTTAAATTAAGACACCGAGGCAGTGATACTGAAATCTCTATAAAACAAAAACTTTAGATAAGAATAACTTAAATGACAACGTTACCAATATTAGGTTATAAGCTTTAAACGAATCAATTAAAATTACTTAAGACGAAAAGAACTCTTTCAGTGAATACGATTGGTAAGTAAAATTGCATATTGTGTTTGTTCCGCCAGCATCAGTTTCAGTTTGTACGTATATTGCAAGCCCCTGCTAATATTAATACTTGGTTTCAACTTATACACTAAACTTGTCAGTCATTTGGATTAGGTTAGTTGAGCCAAAACACAAAACTGTCTTGGATATTAGATAAGACTGCATCACCGAAACCAGTTACTCGTTATTAAAATGGTAAGGCGATATTTTAACGTTAATTAAATAAGAGACTCATCTTAACATAAGTTATGATTGCTCATGCATCACTCGTAGTATTTGTCGCTACTGAGAGAGTAACAATTTCTGGTCAGAACACCTTATCTAGCTAGCAAACTTAGCTCAAGTACCGAACAATTTAAATAAAAGAAGCTCACCAATAAATCTGCATTTTTACGTATACAAATGTCTACATTCTTTCTTGTGAGCGATTTCAAGTTCCTTCTTGGTGCTTTCTTCAACATTTTGTCAAAAACTACACAAAAGAAAAGACATGAAATACCGACACTGCTTTTTAGTTTCTTTCTATTTCAATCTACCCGCCGATTCCTCTCCGGGCAATTTTTTATGACGTATTCGGTCGCGTAAACGTGGCGTCATTGTAAAATTAGAAATGTCAGGTTTAGGGGTTTACGTGTAGTTCACAAAACACACACTTAATGTTGTGCAGACTATATGATTCGACCAACTAGATCTCCGGCAGTAGTGGTAAGATTACAGTCACTGCAGCTTATCCGCTCAGAACAAAAAAGCGATGTCTAATTGCAACTGGTCTATAATTATGCACAAGCAGACAATATAATCATATATATAATTTCTGTTATTAACCGTCTGTAATGTCTGATTATGCGCGTGATTGTGTATAGATGTGTGGTTCCGAAAGGAAATATTTACATATTATAACATATATTATTACATTATATATACATGTTATTCAACAATTTACATTGTACAGAGAATATAATACATTAATACAATGTACCTAAAGGTGCGGTGTTAATTTTGATTTAATTTTAGTCTTTTAACGAAAATACAGTTCAATTTTAGTCATCTGATTTTTTTGAGATTTAGTCAACGAAAATGACAGAATATTTAATCAACTAAATGTACAGTACGTACATGCAGTCAATGAAACTAACAGGTTTAGTCACAGTCAATGCATCCATTTTCTGAAACTGCTTGTCTTATCGTAGTCATAGTTTAATATATAATTTTCAATTTTTCAAAATTTTCATTTTTTTTTAAAGGGCGGGGGTCAACCTCTGTCCCATTAAAATTCCTGAAGGAAACATCTGTGTAGCTGTTATTATGGCATGGCATTAGCTTACATGTGGTCTTTAAAGACAGATTATTGTAAAGGTTATATTAGAAACATTGCACTATTGAAAAAATGGCACTGAGACTTGTTTTCTTTCACATCAAATTTGAAATTTATCCATATGTCAGTATGTTTTTCCCTACCTAAAGCCAACTGTGGCACAGACAAGGCTTGGGCAGTATCTAATATTTCATGCCATCATAAAAGTCGGCAAAAGCCTAGCACAGACATAACAAGGTTACAGATGCACTTCAGAGACAGAACTGCATGGTTTACACACTTGAAGCCCATTAGATCAATATTATCCAATCACATGCAACTACAATCAATACTAACTAAAGATGTTACTTCTGATTGGATCAGTTTCAAGTTGGTATATTTCTGTTATTTAGTCTTGTTTTTATTAATTGAAGAAAGTGTTAGTACATTTAGTTATATAGTTTCTGGCATCCTAAATTATTTTATTATCATCTTGTTTTCCTCAGTTAAAAATCTTTGTTGATGAATAGATTTCATCATAGTTTCCTTCAATGAAATTAACACTGGCGGAACAGGTGAATAATCTTTTTTGTCACTGCCAAAAGGGGCCTCAGTCTACAGAGAAGTAGGTATTACAAGTAATCAAATACCTTTACTAGGACTCATTACATGGGGGCAGTGTTGCCAGGTCCGGCAAAAATGTTTGAAATCCCATAATACTGCATCTCAAAGAAATAAACAAGTATTTTGCATGATCACATTGAAATGTTCAACATTTTGAAACCACAGTTAAACACAATGACATCACGGAGATGGACACACTCTCCTTTCCCAGGTTTTCTAACTTTGGTGAAATTTTCAATTGGAGACAAGTCTGCATACACTTGCATTTACATATACAGTAACAGTTTCATAACCTTGTAAATGGTCTGTAGGGTTTGCAAACTAACCCAACACTTCCGATGTAGCTTGTGAGAGTTTGAAAGCATGTCACACCAGATGCGTGAGAGTTGGCAACCCTGCTTTCCATCTTTGACTTTTGGTGGCTATCAGTTCAGTATTAGGAGCCACTTGCATTCATAATATTAATTTCTTTTTCTTCTTACTGTCCACTACCACAGACCATTACAAAAGCAGCCTAAAAACCCACAACCTGCGACCTCGTAATATTTACCTGCAACTTTATTTTCAAAATAGCACAACTGGGCTGGAAAAACAGCTTACCTGGCAACTCTGCGGGGTAGGGGAGGGGGAGTTCCAGAAAGCAAAATTTCTCAGTTAGCTGGGTTAACTTAAGCTTGTCCAAAAGGAATAATCCTTGCCTAAATGCTAATTGATTGATCATGACTTCTAACTTCAGTTAACCCAGCTAACTGGAAAATTTTGCTTTGGAAGATCTGAAAAGTAATTACTTCGTTTAATATCCTCCTGAGACCTCACCCATTCATTTATGTCCATTGTAGTAGACATGTTGTTTTTCACTGATGTAAGGAAACATATTTATTCCTGTTGTACATTTATACTCTTTTTGTACACTAAAGAGGACATGCTGTGAAATTAAAAATAAATTTAAATTTGGAAAAAATCTAAATTGTAAGATGTCTTATTTCCTCCAAAGACAAATAACCTACAATTGAAGGACACTTTTTTCCTTGGGTCTCAGGAGGATATGGATGAAACTTCACCCAATAACATGCAAAATAACAAACGAATCAACATGGAAACTGAATAGTTATCCCAGTAAAACAATAAATATTAACTACATTGCAAACAGATCGCAGTAAACAATTTGGATTGAACATATTTGCAGCACACCAGTGTCATAGCTCTATTTTAAACACCTAATTTTTCAAAAAATGTAATCCAATTCATTTCAACATTTTATGTAATTGAATAAAATTAATTTCACATCTATTATTTGACAATATCACTACATTTGCTGCTTATTGTTCGATTATCGTTTACCATTGTATTTTATTACTCATATGGATTTAGTTTTTAGATAAAATGATAAGACAAACTGATATAATTTAGTTATTTTGTTTGTTTTTAGATAGAATGTTAAATATTTATTTCAGGGTTGGCTTTCTCCCTGCATTTTGCCATTTTCTTGTAGAATTTCTCTGAAATTTTCTCAAAAGGGTAATTTTAAGCCATAGACATCCAACACTCATGGACTCCTACAATTTCTAGATGTACTGGATGGATCACCTGGAAATGTGAACATGAACTACAATTCTTGAATGATTGGATGGATCACCTAGAAATGTAAAAGTTAATGAGCATGTTTTTACCTGAATGCTGTGAATCCTTGTTATGATATGTAGGCGTGAAAGTATACTCATTTATTCATTTATTTGCACATTCAACTTAAGTGTTCATTTTGTTGGTAAAAACAAAGACGAAAAATACTCATCAACAACATTTTTTCAGAAAAATCTAAACAAAAACTTAATGAAAAGGCACCTTTAATGACGAAAACTAAGACGAATGCTATTAAAATGATTGTTGACGAAACATAAACAAATCGATCCAAATATTGTTAGTGTCGATACCAGCCTTGGTATTTGTATCGGTTCAATACTCGCATGATAGGATCGCGTTTCAGTTTCTGTCCTCTACGTTCAGTGCATTGCTCCCGTTTCATCAGAAAGTAGACGTGTCTGTGCAAACATCGCTCCTTTCATTTCTTGCATGCACACTTTGCTCCTCCTCCTTCCCTGCTCTGCTGTGTTTTGTTGTTGCACTTATTTGATTTGATTATCTGTAATCATTTGATTAAAGTCTTTTAACTATCTGTCTCGCATGGACACTAGAACTGTGATTTCCCGGTGTCATTTACATGTATGTTTTCATGAAAAAAAAGTAGTTTGGAGACCAGACAGCGATTGCTCCTGGTGAAAGATCTTGCAGTGTGTGACCCCCTGTCGCTGATCAGTCATGTAGTGTGTAAATCACAGCGACTTCAAGACTCTCAATTACAAGATGACAAGTTAGTGTAGTGTGAACAGTACAGCGATCTGACAACTTTAAAAATTGTGTAGTGCCAATATAGCAAAACTAGCAGTGTAATGAAAGGGAGAAATTGTTTTGATATTGTAAAATTGTTTCAGACTGAAGAATAGAAGAATCTAAGTTTTAAAACTTTCACTGTTCTCCAGTAATAATTTTGTGCAGATTTCATGTTTGCAAATTCAGTTCATTACAGTAATAAAATTTTTTTATTTGCCTAAAAACTTTGCTTAAAATCTGTTCTGGGTTTAACATACACATGATTAATTAACAGTGGAAAGCAAAAAATTACAAAATCATTTAGTGGTCATGAAAATGTATTGCGATTTAGCATATTGATGCATTCACATCATAAATCATGACACATTAATGTACATAAGCTGCTTTTATAAGTAAAAAGTATTGGTATCGATATCAGCGATACTGATCCTGTATTTACTTAGTATCAGATCGATACCAATTTTGCAGTATCGCACACTAATGTGAAGCTCTTTGCAGATCTTTATCATACATGACATGGTCCACTAACAAATAAAGAGTAAGAATGCAGTGGTGCAATTTTAAAAACTTGCATGCACGCTTGTAATTGGATAACACTATTTGGGCACCATCAGGAAATTGTCACGTGAGGTACAATCCTGCCGCATTCCACTCCGCTATGTCACCCAACGCATTTCTGATTCTGTTACGGGTTTATCTTACCTCTCTTTCCTGTCCTTGTGTGATTCACTCCAGCTGTCTCTCATTTTGCTCCCTCATTAGTCCTTGTATAAAAGTGCTTCCCAGTCTTGGCATTAACGTCGATCCTGCTTGTAGCCTGTCCTGTTTGTAGAGTTCCATGCCCCTGGTTTTGATCCTGGATAATCCCGGATTGCCAGGTCTCATGCATCTGGCTTGGCACTCACACGTTCTGACTCTCTTATTACATTATAAACCTAAAATTAGCTATATGAAAACTGTTGGGGTAGTTTGCAAACTCTGTAGACTATTTACAAGGTAATAAAACTCTTACAAACATGGATATGTGTGTATAGACTTGTCTCAAATTGAAAGTCTCATGCCAGCCGGCTTACCAAAGTTGACAACGTTGCTGTGATCTAGTTCTTTCATATCGTATGTCAGACATGGTGGAGGCAGTCCCTTACGAAAATTAACCATGGTTTTACTATGATTAAATAACCATGGTTTACAATGGTTTGCCGTTTTTCATGTTTTTTTGGGTAACTATGGAAACTATGACT